CCCCAAAACCCCAAAACCCCAAAACCCCAAAACCCCAAAACCCCGATTAACAACTTGTGCATTGACTGTATTTAAGCATCTTAAATATCATTAAAAATAAATACTATTTATTAAAATCATGAAATCTGGCATGAATTTTTCAAAGAGCCAAACCAACCAACTCGATGTAATCGATGAAGTAGACGAGGGATTAGTTCCAAGCACATCAAATCCTTGCTCCCTGGAAAGAAGACCTGATAGCAGTTTAGGTCTCAGCAGGATCCGTTCTGAATACAGACATAAAGATACTACAAAAATTTGTTTGAACAAATACCGTTTAAGATTGAATTTTAAGAGCCCTTTTCCCAAAAACAAGCCAATCTTGAAGCCTGAGATGGCAAGAACTTTTTATTGAGAGAAAAAAGACGTTCTTGATAGTCCAGAAAAGTCTGAAGAGCTCTCGATACACAAAATTAACCACAATAAGTAAATTACTCTATTAAATCTCTCTAGGACTATTAATTGTATAAATTATGAATCTGATAACAAAATCAAAGTCAATGTCAGAAATTCAAAATCTAAAAAGAAAATTTCAAAAGATTCAGACCACAAGGCAAGAACTCTTCATAAATCTGATGTTCCTGAGTTAAGGTTTGCCAGCTCACAAGGATTTAACGCACAGAGCTGGAAAGAACCTCGGTTTCTTGAAAACCATACTTCATCATTTGCTGGTAGAGAAAATGAAAACGACTACAAAAGTTTGAAGAAAGAATTGAATAGAGTAAAAAGTTCATCGGTAACATCTACCAGCAAAACTATAAAGAGACGTAATATCGTCCTTTCTAAACCGGAAGTGATCAAGAAAAGCTTCAAGAAAACTTTCGGAGCCTCAAATGGATTCCAAATATTAAAGAATATGAAGCTGAACGAAGATCTTTCTCATGTCAGAAATCATCGCCACAAAAAATCTTTAATCAATAGAAGAAAATCAGACAATGGAAGCAAGTGCCAGAGCTTTGAAGGATTTGATATCGACTCAGGACATTATAGAAAGAAGAGTCTTGCTAGTTTCTGTATCCAGAGATCGTCGAAATCTTTGAGAAAAACACCATCTTTAACATTTTCCAAGGGAAAGGTAAATTCCTTAGAATCAGACCGGTTTCTTATTTTAATTCTACAATTCCGATCATTAAAGTCTAACTTGTCTAATAGAAGATCGAAATAAATACAGCATATGGTACAAGTTTCATCTATAACAAAAACTCTGAGGATAACTCTACTGCAGAAGATGAGGAGGAAGCTAGAGAAACTGCCATCTCTAAAAATACTGATTCTCTCATCAAGATTAGAACTGACTCCACTGGCTTTCCATGTAATAGAAAGCTTAAGAAATATGATGAGCTGGCCAGAAACCTAAAAATGTCATAGTTGTAATGTAGCATATAGCTACTTTATTTTCTTCATAAACCCATTTTTAAATTATAATTCTGAGTGTAAAAATTTAGTAAATCCCACATTTTCGATTTTGTGAACAAAACTCTTGATGAAGCTTAGATTATAAAGAAATATATTTGAACTGTACATTTAGGCAATATTTTAACAGACTGGTGTACTTATAAGATAAAGTAGACACTAAGTGCCCTTTGATTATTTTCCATTCCTTAATAATTTAAAGGGGTTTTGGGGTTTTGGGGTTTTGGGGTTTTGGGG